CTTGGAATGTGTGACAAAATTTTTTCTTTTTTTAAATTATCCATTAGAAATGATTGAAATTTTTTGATGATAATAAGCTAAACTTTATTATTAAATGTTAGAGTTAAAATTAAAATTACATAAAAATCGACAATTTTATTCAAATTATAATATGAATATTAAAAATTATATTGGTTCTTATTTTAAAAAAAAAAAGTATAGCATATGTTTTTTTTTTTTTTTTTTATTTAAAATCAAAATGTAGAAATAAATAGGTAAAAAGTTAATTATTTTGAAGAAAAAAAAACCAAAAAATTAAAAAAATTTATATCAAAAACCAAAGAATTGACTTTTTTCAATAAGTTAGTTTCGTTCAATTGTAATTTGCAAGAAATTAGTATGACAAGCAACGGTGATATGAAAGTTTTGTTAGAATATTTCACAACAATGATTGATAAGTTGTCAATCTTTTGTGAAAAATTTAAAATCTTGGCTTATTTTTTTTTTTTTCACATTCTCTTTCTTTCTTTACAAAAAAAAAAAGTAGGAAAAAAAAGAAAGGAAGAATGAAGATAGGTCTAAATGTTAATAATTATTTAAATTAATTAAGCTATAAGTTATTTATTAATTTTGTAGAAATTTTTTGATAAAGCTAAACCTTACATTTGAAACTTACAATAATAAAATAAAAAAAAAACGATAGATTTATCTAAAAAATTTTTTTAATAATAACTTACAAGAATCATTCATGCATGAATTTCTCTACAGAAAGGATAATATGGTAAGAAATTTTGGAAATGACGAAAAAAAAAAAAAAAGAAAATTACGTTCGTTGGAAAATGGAAAAAGATAAAAATTTGATTTAAAAGAAACATTAAAACATTGTAAAATTATAATTTTTCGAAAAATAAATTCGATCTAATTAGATATCGTAGCTGATAATAGTAATATTAAAGTTTGAAATTTTTGAGAAAAAATATTGAAAAATGAATTTATTTGTTTAAATTATTATATAATTTGTTAAATAATTTTATAAATGATTTGAAATGGAAATTATTTGTGTCTAGAATTTACTACAAATTCTATAAAGCACATAAAATGCTTAAAATCTATCATACAAAACGTATTTGTTATCAATTCAACTTCTACATTCAATGGTTGTCGTTTGCTTATCAATAATTTTATGGCCCATTAAATAGCATAAACCATATTTGCTAGCAGAAAGCTGTAACAAATATGTATTATTATTCTTAAAATATAAAAATTATCGATTTGTCAAAAATTTTTCTTTTCCTATTAAAAGTTATTATTTTTGCATTTATATGACAATAAGATATCATAAAATATTTGAAAAGCTAAATCTTTTCTTCTTTTTTCTTTTCTCTCTCTCTCTTGATAATTTAAAATTACAATAAATTCTTTTCTCCCATTAATAAATTTACGTGAATTAATTCTTATATTTATAAATGACAAAATTTTATTGAAGTTTCTTTTTTTTTTTTTGGTAAAAAATTAGTATGACCGAATTTAAAATGGAAAAAATTTTTGGTAAAATATAAAAATTTGGTTTTTATCTGGTAATGATTAAAACATTACATATATATAATAATTAATCAATTATTATACATTTAAATAATTTGTAGTGCAAGTGCAAATTAAATTGCATTTGTTCCTTTTTTTTTTTTTGCGTTTCACTTAATATTAATTAATTATAATAAGAAAGAAAGATTATAGAGGAAAGAAAGAAATATACAATCAAATTTTAGGATAATTTTACAGCGCTAATTTTTGGGTAATTATAAAACAGAATATGAAATTCTAAAATTAATAGATTATTAAAAGCATTAATTACATATCAAACTTAGGATGACTGACAATTTAATAACGATAACAATTATTTACTGATAGTTTCCGATTCATTGATTTTAAAGCATCTAGATATCCTACATATCGTATATTGTTGGATACGGTATCGTTTGAAATAAAAAATAAAAATTACGGTATCGTTTGAAATAAAAAAAGATAAAATTTGGTACAATTAATTTGTAAGAAATATCGTTCATAATTAAACTCATTGTATGGTACTGTACATACTTGGTATACTGTATTCATACGTTCGCGTGTTCACATAGGTATACTGTACGTTGTGATGGCATATTGTGCGGAACGATGGTATACTGTACAGAGTGATCTACGAGATATTTTGTGTTAAATTCATCACTATCATTAATAATAACAATTAATATCACTAGTAATCATTAATAATCATTTTTGTTGTAATGATAATAATAATTACTCTTATCATCATCATTATTACTGTAATGATAGCAATAATAATTACTATTGTTATCAATCACCATCTTAATAATCACTATCATTTTCCATGCTAACAATCATCATCTTTCATCCTCATAATCATCATTTTCTTTAACTTATGACAAAAGGAAAAAATGAAGGAAAATGTTTCGTTTTTTTTTTTTTTTTTTTTTTCGTTCATGTAGTAATATTAAAAAAGTATTGCTTAAAAAAAAAATGGAAAAAAAAAGAAAATGAAAAAACGAAAAAAAAAAAAAAAAAAAACTCTACCAGAATTCATCTTTTCATTTTTATTGCAAATATTTGCGATTGAAAAGAGTTAAGTACAATGGAAAAAAAAAAAAGAAAGGATAAGAAAAGTGAAAGCAAAAGGAAATATATTGAAATACATATGTTTTTTTTTTTTTTTTTTGTTAATGGAAAAAAAGAATGATGAGATGAGATTGTAAATGTACAGGATGAAAAGTTATGCTAAAATTTTCAAACTTTCTTTTACTTATTTTCTTAGAAAAGACAGAGAAGAAATTGTTTTAGATGATATGACAAGATATGAAATGAAAAGAATTTGATGCATTGAAAAATGAAGTAATGGTAGGATAAAAAGAAGATTAAAATAATGTATGAGATGAATAGGTGACATAAGAAATAAAACGAAAAAGGGAAAATGAAGAATGAAGACACAGAGAAAAAGTATCAATCTAGCAAATATTAACTTGTAAATTTTACTCAGACATAGCTTTAAGAAAGTAAGCAAACAAAATTTTTATTTACATAAATGACAAATCATTCTATCGTCGTTTTGATTTTCATTTTAGTACGATATGTTCAACAGTTAGTTAGTTTGTATAATTTTTTTTGATAATGAAAATTTTCGTTGTGTAGAAAAATGCTAGTTTTCCAGAAAAAAAAAAAGAGGAGGAAAAGACGAAAAGAAAAGTAAAGATTAGAATTTTAGGAAATTTAAGAATTTTTAAACAAAATGTACGAGAAAGAGTAATAAAATATCTTTTTGATGATACAATTTATGGAAAAAGTGTTAAAATGCCTTATTCGATAGATTTGTTTAACAAATAATTCTTAAATTTCATTACCAAACAGTAAATTAATTCCTAAAAGAAAATAAATAAAATTTAATTAAATTTATTAATTGCAAATTTTCTAGTTCTTCTTTATGAAGGTTGTACTATTTTAAGATTAAAAGAAATGAAAGCATAGTTTCTAAGTTTAATATATTCATCAGAGGAATATTATTTTGCGGAATTCTTATCAAAAAAGAGATGTGCAGTGATAATCAGAGAATTTTGAATGCACAAGCTTTTAACTTTGCTCAGAATTGAAATTTTAAATTTTAGAATTATTAAGCTTCAAATATAGTCAATGATTATGAAAGTTGCTCTATTGACAAATACGACAAAATAACTGCTTCACAAATTTTTAAAGGTCCTTAAAAATACAAAAATAAATTAGATGAATTAACACTTCATTTAATTGTTTTGGTCTTTAAACTTTCTCAAATCTGATCCATAAGATTTATAACTCTTGTCAAAATATCGGAAATAGATTCTGATAGAATTGTATCCGTCTCTTTTTACTTAAAAGAAAAAAATTCTTTACCGATTTATATTCATTTCTTTGATAAAAATTTTATTGGATGATGTTTTAGATTAAATGTAGACTAAATTGTGTAGATTTTTACTGCATTAAAAAAACAAAACGAAAAAAAAAGAAATAATTAAGCTGCATGAAGCATTCAACAACTTGTTATAGCTGATTATAACATTAAAATTTAATTGAATTTACAGAAAACCAAACTGAAATAATTTTTACATATTCTCTCGATAGTGAACATATAGTTCAAAAATTTCCCTTCAAATCGTTTATATTAATTTTTATAATTTGATTGAAAGGAAAAATTTTGAGCTTACAATTTCACTTTGATATTTAAGAATAGGACATGACAATACAATAATATACGTTAAGCAACAAACATGGAAAAATATATTAATAAATAATTGATGAAATATTAAAAAAAACCCGTACAAAAATTTGAACACTCTGAAATTTATCTAAAAATGCACACATAAGCGTGAAAAAAACTGTTTGAATTAATTAGAAGAGAATCCAGAAAAGAAATCTGATATATTTTCTTTTATTACTTCTTTGCAAAAATGAGAAAAACACTGACATTTTTAAAATTATTACTGTTCGATAAAGCATTTCGCAGCTATATCGTATTTATTTTACCATAAAAAGGTATCAAGGAAATTAAATTTTTTTTAAAGCAAAATTCAACTAAATTTATAGCTGCTAATTAGTTGATAAATTCACAGAATGAGTATTTCCTACGTAATCAATTATTTCAAGCATTCCACTTAAACATAATTTCTATGAAAAATAAATTTTCATCATCGGACAGTCATTTTATTTTAACCTAACTTCTGGACTGTCAGACAATATTAATATCAGTTGAAGATAACATTTAATGTCGAAATTTTACAATATAAAACAAATATTAAGTTGATAAGTTTATCACTACTAACAATTTTCTGCTTTCACTTAATATTTACAAAAGTAATATATTATGGGAATAAGGCTAAGTACGAGAAGATAGAAATATTACAAATCTGCTAGAAATAGAAATACTTAACATTTAAATTTTCTCGTCCTCAATCAATTAACATGTTTTAACTTTATTCTAGTTCTATCTAAAATGATGATGGTACTGTGAATAATGATAGATCAAGAGGAGTATTGTGACTGGAATCAAAATCTACTAAATACTTTGAGCACAGACAATGTATCAAGATATTCCGGTTTTGTTTGGTTAAATTCTCAATATTATCCATTGCTAAAGTTTTTGGGCAGTCCTTAGTTAACGATATTCGTTCTAACGGTGTTGCTGCTAACCAAACATCTACTGCTAGTTCTGCATCGTCATCATTTATCAGATTAGGATGTCGTGCACGAAGGATTGATTTTAATAAATTGTTAGCACGATTTGTAGCAAGACGTTCTTCACTTGTACCCTCTGTCGTTATGATCATTTCATCTTGAGTACGTCTGATTAACACTAAAGGACCATTATATGCAGTCAACTGAAATACTAAAGATGAAATTTTCACTTCAAATTGAAGTATTCAATTTCAGCAAAAAATTAAGTCTTTTGCAAAGAAAAAGAAAAAAAGAAAAAAAATGTAAAGAAAAATAAATAAATAAATCTAAAAGTAGCACTCTTCTGAGAAACTCAAGTAAATTATTATCGTTCAAAATAAGTGGAAGCAAAATAAACTAACTTAATTAGTTTAACTTTTCTTTTTTCAAATTAAAATCAGGTATTCCTAGAAACTTTCTTATCAAAGCATGAATACCTAAACAACATTACTGACTAAGATGTTTATCAGTTTTATCTCAGTTACCAGGATTTATTCATAGATTTTATTAATAACCAGTCATTAAATCTGATCAAAAAATAAGTTTATGAGATTTATGCTTGATGAAGAATCAAAACACTCGTGGATTATTATCACTATGTTATACGCCAACATACGATAAAATCATACATTCCTCGTTTTAATTGAGAATCAAAATACTAACCTGCATAGCGATCGGCATGTCAAAGTATGTCCGAACGATGAATTCGACTAATGGTGCCCATGATCTCGGCATTTTAGCCTCGGCAAGAGGTAAGAGATCATCAAATGTTGCATCCAATATCAGAGCCGAAAATAAAAAATGCAAAATATTAAAAATTACGATTTATCATTGTTTTAATTTTAAATATTTCGGTGTTATGTGTAAAACTTCCATATTCATAACTCCTTACATTAGTAATAAGTTTACAGTGTAACGTTAAAAATTATGCACATGAAAGAATATGTATACTAATTTATTAATATAATATTTCGAAAATTAAGCAAAACTATTAGTAATCTTCTGGAAATTAATTTTTAAAACAAAAATCAATTAAAATTTAACGGAATCAAACAGTACTTTGATATTTGGATAATTAGCAGCAGCCCATGTTGCTGGAAATCCACCAATTGACCATGCATAGATAACAATTTGCTCTTCCTCAAAACCTAATTTATGTATTGCATATTGAATAACAGCATCAATTGATGCAACTGTTTGTTTCGGTGTTGGCATACCGCTACTTTCACCAAATCCTAAAGCTTTTGTACAATAATTCAGGTAAACATTAACAAAATTTGGTTCAAAGATATAACCATTACTTCTAAAATATATTTAAAGTTCTCTCAGTACTTGACATATTCCGAATATTCCAAAATTTTGTATAAGAAAAAAAAAACTTTGTTAAAGGTTTTGATATTCAAAAAGCATGTAGTTAAATATGTAAATGGGATGAACTAGTAATGAGTCTTATACAGGTCTTTTTTTTTCTTATGTATCTATATATCTATGTGATGTAAATAATGGTAAAATACAATAACAATTATCACAAATTATTTGTTACTATTAAATTTTTTTTTTTTTTTTTTAGAAAAAATTAACGAATAAAATTTTTAATTTAAGAAAAGGTATCAACCAGGTTGATTCCATCCAAGCACAGAATAATTTAGTGTAAGTGGTGTTGGCATAATACCAGTTTCATAAAATCCAGCATTTCCCTCACATGTTACAACCAGAATATCACCATTTTCTCCCTGTTCTCGACGATCAACAAACATACTATCTACTCGATTACCTTCCCTTGTCATTAAAACACCTCGCATAGCACCCTTAACAATGAAAATCAATTAAAATTAGATAAAGTGAAAAAAAAAAAAAAAAAAAAAACTCAAAAAATACTGATATTATCATAGTAAAATTAATTGTACAGTGAAGAATAACAGTAGTGAATGAGCAATTAAAAAATTTCAATGAAGGAAGTGGTGAAAAAGAAATATTAATTTATACTAATCAAAAAAATTATCTTAAATTAACCTTTTCGACCACAAGTTTCCTTCGATTCTCAATCAAAAATGATTGAATTAATTTATTCAATAATGCTGCTGAACCAGGATAAACAAGTACACGCGCAAAACTATAAGCAATATTGTAAGATAGACGATCACGTAACGCGGTGTATAATATATTTCCAGTAGTTGTAAATCTTCTTGGTGTTTCGAAATATTTTCGCGACTCTTTACGAGCACGAAAATCAATTGGTGCAGCAAATAACTAAAAGTTGAAAACACAAATGCAATTTTAAATTAGTATTTTTTTTTTTCTTTAATATTCAACAATTCCTGTTTTCCAAATGGAATAAAAATTCCTGCAAAGCAGAAAAAAAAAATTTTTTTTTGAATTTCAAATTGATATATGAAAAAAAAAAAATTATAAATTGATCGATACCTCATAATCATATCCTAGTAATAGTGAACTCGCATTTTGACCATGCAAATGAGCTTTAAATAATGTATCAGCAAATCGACGATATTCTGGATTAAATATTCTTCCGATAGTTCTCATACTAATCGCTATTACATAATATGTTACCGTAAATTTTGCTAACATCATAAAGTTTGTTCCATTCAATAATGAACGATTATAAGCAATCTAAAATTTGAAAGAAATAATAATTTGCATAGCTTTTGATAAATTCCACCTTTTTTTTTTAAAGTCTAATTTTTCAATATTTTAATATGTTATCTATCAGTTATTTCTAATAATATGACAATGTTTACTATAAGAAAGTGAAATATAAAACAATACTCGAATTAAGCAATATAAATTAATGAGCTTATTATGAACAAGAAAATACAAAAAAGAAAAAACAGAAAATCATAGAATAAGAAAAAAGAGGGGAATGCAAAAGAAACAATAAAATCTCTCGTTAGAAATAAGCATGACATAAATTTAATTAGTATCTTGAACTAATTATCGAAAAATTGTCAGGGAGTTTTCTTTTCTTTTTTCTGAGAATTCTTGACAAAAATAACCTTCAAGAAAAAATAAGAATGGAAAAACTTTGTTGTATTCTTATTTGAGAAATTTTTTGGCAATAAAACTATTTCCACAGCATTGTCTTTTTTCTTTTCTCGAAAATTCTTCAAATTTGTACAATTTTTGTATATAAAAACTTTAAATTTATTGGCGTTAACTAAATTTCAAATGTAATAATAACATACCAAAAGAAGAAATGGTGAAACCACTGAACATACTGTATAACATCCATTCATAACTGTTAACATTGTTTCACTCACATATTCCAATGAATTACTCGGGAAAACTGTGTTATGACGACGAATGTATGCATATACCTTTGGACCTCTTATTAAGCTTAATAGCATCTCAGCCGGTGTCATTCTCAAACTAATTATTGAAATTTAAATTTAAATATTTAACTACTAGGATAGATTCCATAGAAATTAAATAATTATACAGCATTTATCTTTTAAGTAATGCCAGAGCTATTATCTGTGACGTTGAAAAAAGTACTTCAAGGAATATCGTCAGTATCATCGAACATTGTATGAACTGAATTCAGCAACAAATCTTATGGATCAGTGAAAGATCATTCAAATCTTTCAAATTTAAATTCCGAAATTGTATCATACGAGTGTAAACGTGAAACAATTATGCCACTAAATATACAATACATTTATTTTTACAAATGAAAAGAATGGACAATAAACAAAAAATCATATAATCACTAGGTGTTCTCTTTCTTCCGTTTTGTTGATGAACTCGAATCATCAGTCTTCTCAATTTCTGCTTTTCCTATACTTTGCTTTTCAGGTACCGTAGAAACTTCGTCAGTTTGTACTACTTCGTTATTCTCCTTATCCGTAACCTGGTTCGATATCTCATCCTTGTTTTCCACAGTTGAACTCAACTCCGAATCATCTCCATCAGCTTCACTTTCTGTACCACTTTTCTCATTTTTCTTTTTTAAGCTCTTCATCTTTTCTTTGTAACGTTGCCTAAAATAACAGTGAAATTTTAATAATAGAGTTTATTTTCAAGTGAATTTTTTTGTAATGATCAAATTTGAATCGAACGGTACATTGAAAACAGTGGAAATTATGCAGTAACGAATTATGATGACATGACATGTACCCTAGAAGATTCAAGTAAACTAAGAAGAAAATATTACATTTAACAGTTAAAATTGACCCATCTTATGGAGAAATAAGTTAATTGACCATAAAACCAACTGTAACGACATGATAATTAATAACATCAGTCTCTTTTATTAATAAAATTAAAAATTAGAAAACAATAATCAAAATACATATGACCTAAAAAAATGCTTTTACCTTTTTAACCGTTTTCTAGCTGTTTTTTTTTCTTCCTCCTCCGCCCGTCTTCTTCTTTCAGCCAAAAATTTCTCATCCAGTTCTTCTTGCAAGGCTTTATTATTCATATAATCCAACCTGTCAAAAGCAGTATAATTTAACTAAATATATTCTGTTTATATTGAAAAACATTTCCACCATTACGCATAAAGAAGGCTATAAAATCAAAAAAAGACTGTCTAACAATACACTTAACATCGCCAAGTTAATTTTAATTTTTATAAATCTGAAAAGAAAATACCGATCCATTTCTCGTTTTCGATTGTTCCGAAAAATGTGAAATTCTGCACTTCCAGCAGCGGCTGATGAACCAACAACATTACGGACGAAATCTGGCGGCGGTCGTGGCTTCCGACCATCTCGTCGTTGTGGTATAGACACTGGTTTTTCCTGTCATTTATTGTAACTCACCATCATATACAATAAAGTCATTTATTGTAGCTCACTATCACATACAATAAAGATGCTTGTCAAAAAATAAAGAACAAACTAATTGATCAGAGAACGGAAGAGAAGTGAGGTCTAGTAGAAGAGAAAACAAAGATCAACGAATCGAATTAAAGAGGAAAATTAAAATCAACAAGCATACAATATTTTTCTGCAATCTTTCCAATCTCATTCGCATCAAATCATAAGCAGTTCGAGCTTTTTGCTCTTCTTCCTGTTCCTTGTCTTCATGTGGCATCTAAAATATGAAATACTGTTATACAAATTCCTCACACTTTTATGATTTGAAACGTTGCATAGCTAAAAAACTATAGCTAAAATACAAAACCATAGCTAAAATATAATTCATGAATGACATAAAGCGATTTATATTTTTCACATGTGTAATTTACACTTGAAAGGCAATTTCTATTTTCATACATATAGCTTCTGAGAATACAAAAATAAAAAAAATAATTTCTTATGAAGTAACTTCCACATTCCTCAAACTTCATTTTTATTTACGTAAACTTCATATATACAGCATAAATCTTTGTGAACTACAACCACATAAAAATCTGATATACTGCTAATAGTTTCGTATTTTGATAATTTCATCTTTCCATATATAGTGACTAAAATAAAATAATCTTATGGTATTCAAAATATGTAGAAAAGATTTGATGAAATGAGATATTAAAGTATCAATTTCTCAGAGTTAATAAATAATTAACATAATGGAAGCATAATCTAATGAACTGATTATTTTGCTATTGCAAATGGAATAATACAATGGAAATAATAATTCATCAAATAAACATGTGAACAGATAAATGAATGACATGTTAATATGGAAACAGGTAAATAAACGTAATGAACAATACGCCACACACGTGAACAGACAAATAGATAACACGCTAGACACGTAGACAGGTAAATATAACGTTTCTAGCATTTAACTCAAGAAGTAATCGAGAGAATGGCCATAATTCAAAAGCTTATAGCATTACGTCTCTTAACCCACTCGGAATCTGTTACCTCTTACTAGCTTTCTCTCTCTCTCTCTCTCTTTCTCACCCTTACACCAAATTCACTGCCAGTCTTCTTTTTTCATCCTTTGTTTCAATCTACTATTATATTTCATTTTTCATCAATCTTTATTCTCTCTTGATTTTCTATTCTCTCTCAACATTCAATTTCTTAAATTGCACTCCCTGCTAATAATGTTATTTCATTATGTTTTTCAAAATACAACATGAATGATGTAAATTTGCGTGTGACTTCCGCGTTAAGTCTATGTATCTTTCACGCAAATTTACGTGTATACGTCATCTGTACATCATTTGTCGTATACTTGAAAGTATAAACTTTTATAATTGCTTACTTTATCTTTTCTGGTTATTCATTTTCGAGTACATTACAATGATTGTAGCATTGCTGATACATATTTTGGAATAATATTTTATGTGCATCAATAAATAATAAAAGAAATATCATAGTATGCTTACGTGTAGTACTCTACGTGTATTAACTTATAATAAGAGAAATATGATACGTATATTAAATGTGAAGACTAAAAAATATAAAATGTAAAGATTAAAAATATAGCATCTTTGGCTAAGTTTCTAGATTGATTGATTTGATAGGGAATGTTCTATATTATCATAAAATCATAATATCAATGCTTCTGCTATTTTATGCTAACTCTCTAATTTTAATTTTTTTGCTGAATAAATACGTGTATCAATAATCGATGAAGAATATTTTGTACTTCATCCTTAATCAAATTCCTGGATTGACTTTAATTTATATTTGACTAGGTGGCAAATTAGTTATATCTAACTATAATTTCTATTTACATGTTTTTTTTTTTCTTGTTTGAGAGAATTTCTGCTACTGTTGGAAACCTCGCTTATTGAATTCAACTTCAAAGGTGTACCACAAAATGAGTCAGAAACGGTCTAAGCAAAGGAAAGATGATCATGGGGTTTGTGTTTGTCTTTTGTTTTTTTTTTTTTTGTTCTCATTTTTTTCGAAATCTGATTTTTCTCTGAGGTTCAAAATTTTGTTCACATATCAATTTTATTCATGAATATTCCGAACTTGAACAAAATGTTGATACATCTGCGTTTTTTTTTCTCGATCTTCATTCCAAGATTTAATGAGATAATTCAAGTATTTAGAAGACTTATTAAATTGTGTTAAAATGTTTTATCAATACTATTTTTAAATAGTAGTATTACATTTGTAAAATTGTATTATTGCTATTTAAATATCCTTGTTAATCAATGTTGGGAAAAGAATTTAGGGCAAAATACAAAAAATTGAATTAAATAGTTTATAGTAAATTAACAATGATATAGTGAAAAAATGAGGAATAAAACAGAAAAAAAAATAATCGATAAGAAGCGTAGATGAATTATTAGATTCTCTTCCTGGATTTAATCTTTACCAAGTCGGAATAACTCGCTTAATTATTGATAAAATGCCGTTATGAATATTTCATTTGAAAATAACACTCCTCGAATAACTTTTGGAAAATAGAGGACAATAAAAATGGTATATTAAAATTGAGTTCAAAAATCATACAACCTTATTTTCTACTAGTTAAATATATATATATATTGAATTAGTTCCTCCTTTGTCATATATTTTTTCCCATATTATTTTTGTTCTTTTGTTACAGCTTATCTTCAAATATTTTAATTCTTTTTCAGGATCAGCAGTATGTTGTGGAAAAAATTATAGACAAACGAGTTCGAAATGGAGTTATTGAGTATTATTTGAGTTGGAAAGGGTTTCCATCATCGGAGAATACTTGGGAACCAGAAGAAAATCTTGATTGTCCAGATTTAATCCAGGTTTTAATTTATTTTTGTTGTAATAAACGAAGCGAAAGGGAGACCATGATGTGAGCTGAGCTTTGGAAGCATTTAATTTCTCTCAAAAATTTCTTCATAGGCATTTGAAATTCAAGAGAAGCGGGCGAAAGAACAGAAACGAACGAAAGATCTGGAAAAAGTGGGGCGAAGCTTGTTTGATCGAGGTGTGTAAAACTTATTTATTTACGTCTTCAGTTATACAACTTTCTTATAGTTTGTTAAATATTAAATGGTCTTTCAGTAATTGCATATAAACTGATATTTAAATTTGTCCATTATCTCATCAAAATATCAATTTTTTGTTACTCGCAAACAGTTGCACTTTCTATGTTATGACATTGCTCTATATCTTTGCCTTGTTTTTTGATATTGTGGAAGATCAATAGAAATCCTATAACATTAACTTCTATGCAAGTTCTAAGGTTCTAAAATATCATTCTAAAATGTGCAAACAGTATTCAGGAATATTTTATTTATTTTTTTGTAACTTGTAACTCTTTCCCATCCTTTATATATTGTTCATAAACGTGAAATGTTTACTAATTAATTACTAAGTAATATGTAAGTTGTAAGTTTGGATAATGATCTGAATGATAAATTTTGGAACATCTAGCAACTTATCTGAATTAAAATCATTTTCATATTTATTTGATCGTCATTCGGCCTATTATTAGGTTTGGAGCCAGAACGAATTGTTGGTGCTACAAATAGCGGTGGAGAATTGGAATTGCTGATAAAATGGAAAGGAAGTGAAATGGCTGACTTAGTTCCTGCAAAAATTGCGAATGAAAGATGCCCACAACTGGTTATCAAATTTTACGAAGAACACATTCAGTGGAACGGTTGTGCAGATGTATAATACCTTCTGACAGTGACTGTGTATATTTTCATTTCTTATTGGAATGAGATTTACTTATCCTTCTAATCGTGCATGCATTTGATTTCAAGCTGTAACGCATTCTGTGGAAAATTCTGAATTTTAGCTAGGATATACTGGCTATATTTTATTTAATCAGATGTTTTAATCTACTTATATTGGTTGCAGGAAATGGCCTTGAAAATTTTTTTCTTTTTTTTTTGTTGCCATTTGTCAAGTTCTCATCTACTTTGTTAAAAAAGAGTTATACATATTTTTGTATCTGAAATGAATTTTGCAACTTTAGGAAGCAATTCCTAATTTTTTTGTTTAACTGTTAGCTCAAGTAATATCAGTTCTATTGTTATCTTGTAGTTGTGCAATTCTATAAGGCTTGCCCTTTTATTCAGAAAGCGGTGATTTCGAAAAAGCATATCATTTATGCGAAAGATGTTATGAAGTTTTAAACAGTAATTTAACGAACTAATAAAGCATAAAGTTATATAAAATGTCATTTCTTTGTAACCATCATATTTACTACTAACTGCAGATGGCTGATAAAGACTTCGAGAAACAGAATGTATGGTTCGAGCGGTAAATAAAATTATACATGTGAGGAAAGTTGTTAAGTATTTGTGTGCGATTCATTTTTTTTTTAAGATAATCAAAACAGAACAGTAATCCAACATTAATAGGTGAAGAATCTTTTCCCTAAAACATTGATTAATCTTTACTGTTTGTACTAAAATCTTCAAAATCGATATAATCTCTACAACAAGTGCGTCATTTCTCTGGAAATGATAATTCTTCTAAATTTAACTATCATAAATTTTCTCTTTCATAAATCAATTTAAATTATATGACTATTATTTCGATCATTTCGGTGAGTTAATTAGCGATATCGATCTTGAAGTATTTAAACATCATTCTTTTTCGTCAATAGTACATGAAATGATACAACTGACAATGACAAGACTAATTGTTGCAGCGACAATTGCAATAATATCTGAGTGATATATTTTATAGCACCTTATTCAGACATTACTAAAGTTATTATCTTGTGCGCCATTAGGATTATTTATCACTCAGTAAGATATCATGAAAGTCATTAAAAAGTTCGTTAAGGTAATTAGCATAATGTTTGAAAAGATCTAGTTGCTATATGAATGTTGCAAAGTGGATTATGAGGTAGAAATTTCGCTATCAATGGCAATTTGATATTTGATATTTTTTGATGATAATCTTTCTTGATGACATACACTAGAAGTGGGATGAAATTTCTTAACAAATTTAATCATAGATCTTATCATAAACATGGCTACATAATTTGCTGATAAAAATTATTATCGATCAGAATGGGGTGATAAATTTAGATTCAATGTACAGTAATGATAAATGCCAGTATCAAGGCATTGAGATGACAAAAGAAGAGTTACTCTGCAGCTTTTTAATAGTATCACCAATGAAAGTTTGAGACAAGTTTGAAGTTCAATATGAAAAACCATTAAGCTGTGGAGTTTTTGTTATTATCAAAACGTTTCCGTAGAATGCGAACATTTAAAATTACTCTTTTTTTTAATACTTTAATAACTTTACTTGTCGTGAAGCTCGAAACAATCTCACAAACCTTCAGATAACTTATAAAATATATCAAATAAAATTGTATTAATCCATAATACTAAAATTTTTCTTAATTGAACATTAGAAATGTAAAACTGTTTCAAATTGCAATACGATATTCAACTGACAACAAAGGACATATGCATTGTTTAACATGTTAAAAACAACTCCTTTGTTCCAAATCAAATTTGCTTGCAATATTGTAAAGATTTTCCAAGCTAATAGTCATTCTTTGAGAAGCTACAATATTAAAACCCATTCCTTACTATATAAAGATCATCTGATAGTTCCTTATCAATAATCATGAGCTTGTTGCATGTATAAGGATTTAAATTTTTTCCTTCATCAGTTTTTCTTTACCAGTAAGCCACAATTCACTAAATTCCTCATCAATAATCCATCCATTTTCTTCATCTCATTCTAGAATGTCAGTAAAACCTAAATATTGTGTTGCTAGCAAATAAAATCACAAATGTTTCACTCAACGCATTCGTCTATACTAACTACAATAACAAACAAGGAAGGCTAACAAAGTCTAATTTGACTCTAAGGCACAAATTATATTTAGATTGAACCACAAATTTCACGACATTACTGGATTCCTTGTTTTTCTAGAATTTCTCGCTTAAAAAATCGCAAAACTTCATAACTTGTAGCTTTTTTATTTGTTTAGCTTGTTTCCCTCACGACCATAACGCATAATGTAATAGGAAAAGCCTTAAAGCTGAGGCCCAGTAATGAAAACGATGCATTCGAGATGTACGATATCACTACTACAACAGAAAATCACTCGGATGCTCAGAATCAGTGGTTCTAGCTTGGCCCATATGCTCATATAACTTCAAACTTTGACCCAAAACCATAAATACGGTATATTTTAATACAAAGATTGGATCAAAAAGAATGTGCAAATAATCTTTTACCAAAGCAATGAAGGAAAAAGACGCATTATGATATGATATCAATGATATAATATCATTTCAAAACAAAGAGTGGGTCACAAAGCTGACAAAGGGGAATTTCTAGAATCATTTTAAAAAGGAGAGCGAATATATAAAGAGAGAATGACGACAAAGCTCTCTTTTGGCATTCTGTGGACAATGTTTGAAGCATTATTGAAATTGTCGCATGATAAAGCGTTCTTCATCAGTTAATATTCTAAAATAAATGATTGAAAATCTGGACTGAAAATAATACTGGTTCAAAAGAATTTTGAAGCCTTTATATCTCTCAAAATTAAAAGTAAGAAAAACAGAATATTATTTTAAATATTTCACTTTGTGCTTATTCACTTACACTTTTTGTTTTTAACGTTGCGATATTGCTATGCACAAACATTGCGATGTTATTGATATTGTCGACATTAATAGCGTTTAGTGGTTGAACTTTTGTGATTGACAACCTTTGCTTTTGAAATATTGAAAGGATTGCATGGCGATAAGGTTCAAGAGCGACAATGGTACTTAGACCGATGGCAATTGAACTGGACTGAAATAAAATGGAATTGAAAAACACAATGGAATATAATATCCTCAAAGTATGTTCACTAATGAATTTTACCTCGTAGAAAATACGAATCATTGTACTCATAACGCTGTAGAATACCGTTCCTTTAATTTGACATTGGCATCGAATAGAAGCGCAAATTACTATTACGAATGAGGCAACTGCAATAATTTTTGGCAAATTATTTTGTATAATAATTTCTCTCAGTTTGATTTCAATTTCTGTGTGAAACATTATTGAGTATAATAATTCATATATTTAGTAGTAAATTATTCAATAATAGGAATAAACTGTAGCAAAGCTCACAAAAACGTGGTAAAACAACAATTTCAGTGGCGTAGCTGTAAATAACAAATGAAAATAAACGTTTTCGTCGTAACTTCCCAACACAAACAGCGCTTACTCCGGGCGGTTTGTATTTGTAAATTTCAACAGATGCCTGAAGAAATAATTGTTTAAAAGACAATTTCGAATTGGTTGAAAAATGCAAACTTTCAGCTAAAATGTGTTGCATTTTAGTGTTTGGTTTAGCACCGATGATAGCATTAAAATCAAAATTTAATTTTATTGTTAGCTTTTTTTTCTTTATTTTTGTTCTCTGATAAGAATTTACAAGATTTAACCATCACAGCAACAGTGAACAAAGCGATGAATAATGTAAGATGCGTTAGGTGATATGGCATAACAATTGAAAATTGTTTTCTAATTAAGTATATGCAACTGTTCCACAAAAATAGCGATATATGAAGAATGACATAATGAAGTTTTTGACTCCTACAAAGATTGCTTATTATTCGATTAGCAATTAATGTAGCTTAATTAGCAGATTATATTTCTTGATAAAAAAGTTAACAGATTATATTTCCTGATTAAATTGATCGCCTTAAAAAGTTGCTACTGCAAAAATTTTTTTTCAAAAATTTGAAATTCATCGACTTTGCAATTATATATTTCATTGAAATGATAATGAACTCACTTGTTTACAAAATGTTTCGTATAGAAAATTGGATTTGCATAAGGTAAATAACAAATAACAGCTGCATACAGAGCTAAGGCATGAAACCAAATGCTTCCCAAAGTAAGAAAATGCCGTGCAAAGTGTTGAATTTGATACCTGTAGATATTGACACTATTCTTTTTATTGGACGTTTTGAAAATCCTGGAAAATTATCTGACTATTTCCAAAGCTTCTCTCTGACCTATTAGGTTAATATTTTATAAAAATTTAGAGTGATAGTTGGATATTTTGCTAAACTTTATCTCATATTATCTTATACCAATTAGAATAACTTTTTTTTTTTTTTTTTCAAATGAATAAACGATAATAAAACTAACAAATATTTTGTACTTTTGTCTACTTTAACGAACATATCTACAACATCTATTACATCTGCTACTAGATCAGCTGTGGTCATCAACGAACAAATTGCCATTAAATTAAGCGTAAAATATTTAAATAAGCCATCCTTCACTTTTGCAATTGATAAATAAACCAAAAGTGGTATAATTATAAAATCGGCAATTGTTGTAATGTGTGAAACGAGTTGCATCGCACTGTATAAAGCTGCTAAATAGATGTAAACATATATTTCTTAAAATGAAAATAAAAAAATAAAAAAATGAAACTGGGACTGACATGTTGATAATGTATTACTTAAATTTTGATAATAGTATTGAAATTTCGACAATTACTTAAATATAATACCAAATGAATCTATTTTAAGTGATTATATATGATTAAAGTTACTATATTAATTTCTCCCTTCATGATAATAATAGCTCAAATGGTTCGAACAGTTTGAATTGCTAATTTGAACGAGCTAAAGTAATTTTATGATTTCTGTGAACTTTCGCAGTGTCTTTTAGAATTTTACAAGCAGAGAATGGAAAAAATGTGAAGAGAAAATTATATTTCAAAAACTTACGACATGAAAAACCTTTCTCTGCACATATTGCTTTCTCGGTGATATTAATTTCTTCGTGATAAAAGCTACTATTAATATTATCTTTGAGAAATAGTGCATTTGGCATTAGCCTAAAAAAAAAAAAAAAAAAAAAAAAAAGAATAGTAATATTAGATAGTTTATTACACTTTCAGTCATAAATTTGTTAAAAAGTAATTCTGAAATAAGTAAAAAAGAAATTAGATAAGAATTTGAAAGTGTAAAACTGGCAGCGTTAATATGATATACAAAGATTTAACCAAACAACATCACTCATTTTTTTTTTTTTTCGAATTTGCTATGTTGCTAAGAATTATTGTTTATGGCAGACTTTCATAACCAATTTTGCATATAATAGTAACACAATTCACATTATTATAATGGTATTACTCGATATCTATAGAGTATTTCAAAGAAAATTAGAAATGATATCATTAAAATGAAGAACATATCAACAAATTATATGCTATAAAAGAATGAATAAAAAGAATTTTTCTTTCTTTGAAGAATTACGTTGTTGAGAACCATCTTTGAATAAAACATTTTGAAGAATTATTTAATCATGTTTCTATTTCTGATCAGGTAAATTTTAATAATGTGAATTGAATTACTATCAGGTAAATCTGTTGTAAGGAATATTCTTTTCTTGTTGTAAGAACATGAATTATTTCATGATGAAATGAATTATTTCAACAAACATTTAGCAAACAATCAAATTATCTAATTAATTGTATCGCTATGAGTTAGTTCAAGTGAAGAAAGTCTATTATGGTTACCAGCAATAACTTTCTATCCTTATATTTGATATTTAAATAGTTGTCAAAATTATACTGAAAATGTTTCTTCTTTTTATTTAATAGATTTTGATTTATTTTTGATGGCTAGATTCAGTTCTTTCAATTTTTCATCTATTTTCACAAATTGTAAACTTCAAAGATTGGAAGAATAATAAGATCGAAAAAAAAAAAAATATTCGCTAAATTAAACTAAACTTTTTTATGTAAATGATTTCTTTTATCTTTCTAATTTTATATCACAATCGAAACATTAGCTGTTATGCTGTCTCTGCTAAGCTCTCAAACTTTTTTATGCAATCAATTTTGTAAGAAATAATTCTCATTCATTTTTAAACTATGAACGAACTGATGCGACAGTAAAGAATATAGGAGGAGTCAACCGGTGATGTTTTATTATGTGACAGCATCGGGCTTTTCACAAAAGTATATGGTGAGAATTGGAGATGATGCGAAGCGGTGTGAAAGCTTTATCAATTATAATTCTCATCCTTCTCTCTTTATATTTCTTCTTCGAAATGGTTGTGCGGAATTTTCCTGTGTCGGATACGTTGTCCCTTCTTTGTTCTGAGGTAATGTTCTATCACTAATGGTTTCTTGATGGCACTGACTTAGTGGTAATTTTTTTTTTTGGTATCAATTCGGTGGAAGCTCCACTCTCAAAATCAATGAGTTGGTGACATGGTGTCATGCATATAATATTACGGTCCAAATCAAATTTGTTTATTACTGCAACTACTATTACTACGAACTACTGCTTTTGAAAAGCAACTTTATATGTTAGATGTTATCACTTTTTGACTTTTTTCTCGTAACGTTCAGTCTTCGCAGAAAATCGCGAAAGTTAAATGATTGAAAATATAAATACGAGAATGTCTGCATTGTTTCTTGTTTGCTTTGAAGGAGTAATTAAGATAACGAATGTTTTGTATTCTTAGCAGTACCATAAATCATTATTTTCATACACAATCTACTTAAAGAGTCTTACTTTTGCTCCAGTTTCGTGTAATGATCAGTTTCAGAGCAAATGAGTTCCAATAATTTGTAGCTTACACAGGTGAAAACATTTCAGTATTCTAATTCTATCACAGAGAACTACGTGGAGTCATTTACATCTGTCAAGAATATATGTGTATGCGCGTTGGCCTTTATCCATCTTTGTTTACTTTGTTAATTTCCATATTTCCTTTGATATATTTCGTGAAAGATGATGGTGGTTTATGGTACACAGATGCTAGTGAACCAATGTGACAAACAAGTTGATCCAACAATGATGGCTTCGTGGAGGTGTTTTTCTTCATTTCTTTAAGTTTCTTCTATTAGCCGGAACTGGTAATTCCTTACGTTTTGTCGATTTTTAGTTTATTTTGTGAAGAACATTCCGTTAATTTTTTGTCCCTCATTAACAGGAAATTATGAGTTAACACCAGATCGTATTATTATTATTATTGAATTCTCCTATTGTTTTCTTTTTGTTCTTTTCGTAACTCTTTTTTTTTTTTACTCCTTTTACTCTTACTGTTTTTTTTTTTTTCAGTAATGCTTCCTTTTTGAATTGTAATTTTATTTTGCTTAAATATTGAATGCATTTTTTGCTAAAAAATGTATTTTTTGACAAGATATAGAAGAAAGTATAACTGTTCTGATGTGACCAGCGACTGGGATAGAAAATTTATTGAATAAAATTGTGCCTTTTTTACGTCGCAATACGAAATTGATATGTTTTAAGGAGTATTTTGTTCAATTTTCTAAAATTTTATTTCAGAAAATTCATTTAAACTATTTTTTCGTCATTTTGCGTACTTCAGCAAAAAAAAAAAAAAAAAAAACATCGGTTTTTATAATACATCGATTTCATTTATGCATGAGATAATAAGCAAAAAACAGTTTAACTAGTTTTCCACCTTTGTTATTGCAATATTGTTGATCATTGTTGCACCACTATTGATGTCTACAATTTTTCTATTTAATAGCTGAACTTTTGTAATCGATGATCTTTGTTTTCGAAATATTGAAAGAATTGCATGACGGTAAGGTTCAAGCGCAACAATGGTACTTAGACCAATGGCAATTGAATTCAACTGAAACAATTTTTTTTTTAAATACATTTAAATACAGTAAAGGAGAAGAGAGCAAAATGACAGATATTACCTCATGAAAAATATGAATCAGTCGACGTATAATAGTATAGAAAAGAGTTTGTCGTAATTGATGTTCGCATCCAATATAATCGCAAATGATTGACGTTAATGAATAAACTGTAATAATTTTATGCACATTATTTTAGTCTTTCTGATTTGCTATCTTAAATTAAATTTTTGATACAATATTTGATTGAACGATAATAGAACTTACGAAAACGTGGCAAAACTATAATTTCAGTGGCATAGCAATAAATAACAAATGAAAATAGTCGTTTTCGTCGTAATTTTCCAATACTAGTAGCACTAACTCCGGGTGGTTTGTATTTATATATTCCTATGGATGCCTATAGGAAGGTAATAAAGTATTGTGAAAATTTAAACAGATTAAATATTAACAAAAATTTAAATTTAAACATTAATTTGTAATTTTCAATGTTTAATGTAAATCATTGATGTTGAAAAATGCTAATATGGCAAGACTGCATGAAATCTGTAGTAAAACCGCTTATTTTTGTGTTGCTTTTGCATCTTGTAAATTTCATAATGTTTTTTTATAAATTGGTTTAGTGCTAGAATTAATACCTGGTGGCAATATCAAAATTAAAATTCAATCTTTTTTGATCTTTTTTTTTTTTTTTTTTTTTTTGACAATTTACAAGATTTAACCATCAGAGCAACAGTGAACAAAGCAGTGAATAATATAAGATGCGTTAGATGATATGGCATAACAATTGCGAATTGTTCTCTGATAAAATCTATGCAACTGTTCCACAAAAATAGCGATATATGAAGAATGACATAATGAAGTTTTTGACTCCTAAAAAGATTGTTTATTATTTGGTCAGCAATTAATGTAGCTTAATTAGCAGATTATACTTCTTGATAAAAAAGTTAACGGATTATATTTCCTGATTAAATTGATTAAATTGATCACCTTAAAAAGTTGCTACTGAAAAAATTTTTTTTCAAAAATTTGAAATTCATCGACTTTGCAATTATATATTTCATTGAAATGATAATGAACTCACTTGTTTACAAAATGTTTCGTATAGAAAATTGGATTAGCATAAGGTAAATAACAAATAACAGCTGCATACAGAGCTAAGGCATGAAACCAAATATTTCCAAAACTTAAACATCGTCTTGCCCAACGTCGAATCCGGTATCTATAATTATCGGCATTTTCTTTTTTACCGAACTACTCATAATGCACCATTTGAAGTATCCCATTAATTTATATCGCTTAGATTTTTACAATTTTTGAATAATGCTTGAAATTTTTGCAAAAATCTAATGCATTTTATACCATAAATTTTTTTAAAGGACAAGAAAAACTAACAAGTTTTTTTTATTTTCGCCTACGTCAACGAAGAGATTTATAATGTTTATGATATCTACCGCAAGATCAGCTATAGATATTATGAAGCAAATTGCCATTAAATTAAGTGTAAAATACTTGAATATACCATCCTTCACTTTCGAAAGTGATAAATAAACCAAAAGTGGTATAATTATGAAGTCAGCAACTGTTGTAAGATAAGAAACGAGTTCCATGGTGTTGTATAAGGCTGCTAAATAAAGAGAATCATGTAATCCTTTAAACAAAAAAGTTGTTGAAGTTATCAATTTGACTATATATTGCCTAAACTAAAAATAAAGGAGAATTCGTGACCATTTTAATTGATATTATACGGTTTCGTTACTTTAACAAGTTCCACTTGCTTTGTAAATAAATGGTGTAAAGCCATTTTCTGTGAAGGTATTTGGTTGGAGCAAAGAATTGGCAAAATTTTCAAACCAGTAATCAAAACCAATTATTCTACTAAAAGAAGTTCCAAAACTATTATGATGTCACAGAACTTTTACTTTTGAATTTATCGAAAGATAAATGTACTATTCAATTATTCACAACAATTCAAAACTTACGACATGAAAGACCCTTCTGAGCACATATTGGTCTCTCAGTAGTATTAACTTCACCGTGATGAAGACTACCGTTACTGTTATCGTTGAAAAATAATGCATAAGACATTGATATCAGATAGTATAAATTAGTAATATCAGAAGTTCATTTCATCTCTGTTAAAAATTTGCTAAAAATAATTCATACAGAATTTGAAAAATTTTAAATTTAAGCATGCGAAATTTGCAGCGATAAAATAATATGAACCCAAACTGTCTTCTTAATAACCAAAATCAAACAATTAGAACTAATTTCATTATTATTCGCTTCACTGATATTCCATTTCTTTTCACTTTTTTTTAAACTATTAATTCTGAAATTCCATTTCAATCCACCTAATTTTGTTAATTCAAATATTAAGTAAGTTAAATTACTTTTCAAAACACTAAATAAATGAAATTATATCAAATAAATGAAAAATGGCAAATCTAACTTGGAATTTTTTAATAACTAGTCAATATTTAACAATTATGATTTCATCCAGTTGTGTGTTTGTAAAAACTTGCCCCAGTATATTCAACAGTTACTTTCCTTAATATGTTTCCTGTAATGAATAAAATAACTAAGAACAACTAATATATAAATTAAAGTGAGATGAGCTCTGTGATCTTTTTTATACAATGAGTTCAAAGATTTTTCTCACAGTGACACATCCGGGGTGCATTTCAATGTTAGATGATTTACTAAAATACTGAAATATGTGATATTTTTTCCTTTTTATTGAATTATAAAACAGTGGAACGGATGCTGTTTACCGGACAAATGAATTTCCATTAATTGTTTAATAAATAGTACTTGGTATTTAAGAGTAATAAACATACCGTTTCCGGTTAAGAAATCATTACAGTACTAGTCATTTCATTTTACTGTATTGTATTCAATGTGGAAAATTCTAGATTAATTTTATTGGTATATAAGATGAAGTAAGAAAATCAGCAAATGAAGATACCTCAGTAACTATTTCGCGGTAACATGAAACCGAGGGAAACTATAATAGAAGTTTGAAATATTTTTGACGTACAAACCGATCGTTTAATTTAGTGTAAGGGCAAAACATTAGTTGAATTTTCTTACTTGGCAGCTAGTTCACTTTGAAGTATTACTTAGGATGTCGCGAAACTCGAAATAAATTTTGTGAAGTTCCAAATAGCTTACAGAATATATATTAAATAAAATTGTATTAACCCATAATACTAAAATTTGTCTTAATTGAACATTGGAAAGGTTAAAAAATTGCATCATATAAGCAATTATTTATCCAACACTGATCTTCCCATTATAGTTGAGCTTATCTGTTCGTCTAGACATTTTCAATTGATAACAAAGGATATATGCATTCTTTAACATGTTAAAAACTACTCCTTTGTTCCAAATCAAATTTGCTTGCAATATTGTAAAGATTTTCCAAGCTAATAGTCATTCTTTGAGAAGCTACAAGATTAAAAAAAAACCCATCTCTTGCTATAGAAAGAGTAAAGATTATCTGATAGTTCCTTATCAATAATCATGAGCTTGTTACAACTACATAAGGATTTAAACCTTTTTCTTGTCAGTTTTTTTGTACTAGCAAATATAATTCGGTTGCTCTTTCGCACTCATTTAATTCAGTTCATTTAAATCCATTAAATTCTCCATCAATTTATTTATCTTCATCTCATATCCATAGGCAAGTGCTAGGAACTTATAAGCACATTCTCGGCACTATCGTAGTTACTAGAAAATAAAATCGTTACAATATTGCTTTGTTGACGTTTCACTCAACGAATTGGTCTATACTAGCTACAATAACAATGTATCTTATAGGTTATAGTAGACTATAAGATACAACAGTCAGACGTCCAAAGTTCCACAACACTAGGATAGTTGGATTATGTACTGTAGCAAATTATAACAAGAATTGGGAGATGGAACATCTTCAACCTATTCTCAAACTTTCAATGAGTATGGCATCTCGCTTGTTTAAATGAAGCGTAAACAACGAATGCGTATGTATCAAAGTGGATTGCTTTAGGTGAGCAGAATTGGAGTGTAGGATGAATTAAATGTTGAGGAGAAAATCAAACATTTTGTCGCAATGCTTATGATTCTCTTCTGTGAGAAAGAATCTAAAATTCTCATAAACTTTATTACTAATTTCATCAAATGAATTGGGGAAATGCAAGAGCTTAATTTTCTTGAATATGTAATTTAATGAAGTATGACAGTACTACTTCATATCATGAATTTTTATTTGATTTTAAATCTAATACCCATTTTATCTTGTTGAATTTCTTCCTTTCCTTCATATTACCTGTAGAATACGACTAAACAGGCGCACTTCGTTTATGTGTTACTGAAATACTATAAGATACATTGGATCACTCAGACACTGCATTATTTTAAACCCTCTTTGACCTTCCAATAGCGCATTCTACACTCTGCTCCTGATTACTATCATTCTTTCATCGAGCAGATATATCGGATCTCCCAGATGCTATAATGCATTAAATATATGAACGTACGATCTTCTCATACCTTCTGGTTTTGCAGCTCTATTTGATCTGCAGTATGGCTATATCAACTAATCAAATATTTTAAAATATTCGTTGAAATTCCAATAAATTTTCTGTTCCTGTCGCAGGTCACAGTAGAACAGCTATATTTTCTTGTATAACTTATTGAGAAGTTCATCTTTTCGCGAAATTGCTTTTTTTTTCATTACTAAGCAAAACTGAAACAAAAGAGTTGCGAAAAGAATGAAAAGAAAACAACAGGAAAAAAATAACAGAATTGTTGATGCTCTTCACAAAATAAATTACAAATCGACAAAGTGTAAGGAATTACCAGCCAGAAAACACTCGGCTAATAGAAGAAGCATAAAGAACTGAAGAAAAATACCTTCACAAAATCAAACATATATCAAAGGAAATATGGAAATTAACAAAGTAAACAAAGATGGATAAAGACTAATGCGCATATACATATATTCTTGACAGCCGTAAATTATCGCGTAAATGACTCCACGTAGTTCTCTGTGATAGAATTAGAATACTGAAATGTTTTCACCTGTGTAAGCTACAAATTATTGGAACTCATTTGCTCTGAAACTGATCATTACACGAAACTGGAGCAAAAGTAAGACTCTTTAAGTAGATTGTGTATGAAAATAATGATTTATGGTACTGCTAAGAATACAAAACATTCGTTATCTTAATTACTCCTTCAAAGCAAACAAGAAACAATGCAGACATTCTCGTATTTATATTTTCAATCATTTAACTTTCGCGATTTTCTGCGAAGACTGAACGTTACGAGAAAAAAGTCAAAAAGTGATAACATCTAACATATAAAGTTGCTTTTCAAAAGCAGTAGTTCGTAGTAATAGTAGTTGCAGTAATAAACAAATTTGATTTGGACCGTAATATTATATGCATGACACCATGTCACCAACTCATTGATTTTGAGAGTGGGGCTTCCACCGAATTGGTACCAAAAAAAAAATTAACTATCACTAAGTCAGTGCCATCAAGAAACCATTAGTGATAGAACATTACCTCAGAACAAAGAAGGGACAATGTATCCGACACAGGAAAATTCCGTACAACCATTTCGAAGAAGAAATATAGAGAGAGAAGGGTGAGAATTATAATTGATAAAGCTTTCACACCGCTTCGCATCATCTCCAATTCTCACCATATACTTTTGTGAAAAGCCCGATGCTGTCACATAATAAAACATCACCGGTTGACTCCTCCTATATTCTTTACTGTCGCATCAGTTCGTTCATAGTTTAAAAATGAATGAGAATTATTTCTTACAAAATTGATTGCATAAAAAAGTTTGAAAGCTTAGCAGAGACAGCATAACAGCTAATGTTTCGGTTGTGATATATTCATGTGCAATTGTCGAAAATGAGATGAACGGTCATTTTCTGATGCTACTTTCCATATACTTTGCTAAGTATTTACTACTTTCTCCTTTCAGCTTGGTAATTTGACATTGTTTCATCCAGCTAAAGTCACAACGCTGGAATCTATTATATGCATCCATGTCGCATGCACAGATCAGAAATTCAGAGCTCAATGACTAACCAACTTTTAGTGAAATACTAACAGTAAATAAGCAATGAAGATATTGCTTATTCTATCTTTCACAAAAAATTACACGTACGATAAGTTTTCTTGTTTTAATTTCCTTATTTATTTGTGAAAATTCATTTAAATTAACTTCAACTATTGCCAGAAATCGTTTTTTTTTAATTCGACTTAATTTCACATTCATAATCCATTTTTCGTGCAAAAGAATAAAAAAGTTGCGTGGCGGTATGGTTCAAGTGCAAGAATTGTAATGAAAACAAGGATAATCGTTCGCATCTGAAATTATGTGATATTAAAAGCTTTACTAAAGAAAATGATTCCTTACTGTGAATGGTAGTGATAAAAGATAATCACTGATGAAATAAGCAAATGATTTCTTTATTAATTACCTCATAAAGGTAATAAATCATTAAACTGAGTATGCTCTTTAAATGACTATCAACAAAATTGCTTTCGCAACCCACAGATATACAAATAACATATGCACATGCGTTAACTAAAATATAGTTGTATTAATCGCAATTATCTTGCTTAAAAATACGATAGAGTAAAAATGTTAGCTATAATTTCATGAGCTAGCGATTATGCTTCGAGGTATTGATAATAATACTGGTCTAATGCTAATTACTTTTGCTCACTAATTTGAAGAAAGCTGAAAGAACTTCTGACAGAGTTTCCAGTCTCAATAAACAAAAAAAGAAATGTTGTCATAAGTTTTCACTAGTAGCAATTAATTGAAATTGACAACAATATAGAAAAGTGATGGAAACTTACCAAACATAGGCAAAGTGATGAGTTCAACGGAATAACTGTATAAAATGAATGAATATAAGCGCTTCTGTTGTTTTTTTGCAACTCGAATAGAATTAGAGCCAAGCGGTTTATATCTGCTTATTTTAATCGATCCCTACAACAGTTGAAAATGATACCTCATTTAAAATTATTCTTCAATCATAAGTTTCATATGCCGGTAAAAATGTATGTTTAACTGAT